CTTCACATGATACTGTTTAACATGTTATAACTTCACATGGATACTATTTAACATGTTATAACTTCACAGGGATACTGTTTAACATGTTATAACTTCACATGGATACTGTTTAACACGTTATAACTTCACAGGGATACTGTTTAACATGTTATAACTTCACAGGGATACTGTTTAACATGTTATAACTTTACGTTTTGAATCTCTAGTATAAAATAATGACTAACTGGTCTAAAACTAACCAAACTATTATAGAAAATACATAAAAATAAGGCACCAAAATGTCATCAAGAAAATAATGAAATTCAAAAAAATTAATGTTTGAGTGTACTTACAAATCTACTTGAGTTGTTATTTCTCACTGTCTTGGCATTTCCAAATGCTTCCAAGAGTGGATTGGACTGTAGAATGGTGTCTTTTACATGTTGTACACGTTCCCCTCCACCCGATACTTTGGCAATGTAACTCATGATGTACTTGGCAGCAACTGTTTTACCAGCACCACTCTCCCCGCTGATAGGCAAAAAAGGGAAACAAGTTGTGGGTTGTTTATACCAAGTTTACATGAAATTGTCTCTGGCATAGAAATGGTTGATGCAAATATCATCAATTCATGCATATATATATTGTTAATTATCATTATTTGACATTTAACTACACAAAACAGCATGAATGTTTCAATCCTTAGGATGAACATAAGAAAAGTTAACTGGTATGCAAATTAGCTAATTATTATGCTCAGATTATCAGGTATATTATAAAGTATATTTCAATTCATTTGAGCAAATAAACCAAAATTAACATATGTAAATTGGCTTTTAATTAATATGCCCACATTATTAGAAACTATAATAATCATATATTTATCTACTAAAATAGGATACGTGCACCACATTTCAGTTCATTTGGATGCGTGATACATGCATTATGTCACCTTCAAATTGACTGTAAAAAAACCAAGAATTCTTAATGAGATTGCGCTGGATATTTTAAGATTAGAACAACTTATTACAAACTTTGTTTCAAAGTATTGTTGATTACCCGCAGACTTTGTCCAAAGTCCAAACGTATTTACATTTGTATGTGTAAATATGTTGGGACAAAGTCTTGTGGTAATCGACAATACCCACAATGTAAGTAATAAGCTGTTCTAATCTTACAATATCCAGAGCAATTCTCAATGACAAAACCTTGGTGGTGTTCACTGTAACATAATATAAGAAAAAAATTCTGAATGTTATTTTAGCATATTTGTGGAAAAATATTTTTTTCTAAAAATGTTGTGTAATAGATATACATAACACAACATATAACGGTATTTTCAAGTGGGAAAACAATGTGATAGACAAAGGTTTCAATATATTCACTACTTTCTGTTAAAAATTTTATTAAAATGCAGAAAGCATATTTCAATGACAACATTTTCGGAATCATTAGTCATTGTCAATGAATCTGTATTTATGTGCTGTATCACCCATTGGGACATGATTCACACAAACACTTTTTTCATTTTTCAAAGAATACCAATGGCTTGTACTAGCTTCATCATCAGTAATTCACTTGTGCATTCAAATAGACATTGTTACAGGTCAAACCATGCAGACACAAACATCACAGTGGAAACTGCTTAACATTGAAAATTTGTGTACAATCAAAAAATATTTGATACTAATCTTTTCCTAATAGTTCTTAATATTGTAATAAAATGTTCGCATATTTTTTGTAAACATTTGTGTTTGTTGTTCATTGTAAAAAATGACATTGAAATCAATGATGAGTTAAGATAGAATGCTTCTCAAGAGTTTTTTTTTTTCATATTTGTGTGCATATAGCACACATATACATTGTATGTATCAAAATCTGTCTACAATCAGTTTTAGCGTTAGTCAACAGTATGTGAAAACTCATCACGACAAAGACAATTACCAATTAAATCTTACCTTATGATTACGCATTGACTTTCAAAATCTATCATCATATTTCTATACATGTTGTCTGCAAGAGCATAGATATGCGGTGGGTTTTCATAGGAAGCCTAAAGAAATCAAATCATCATTTGGTGAAAAACTAATGAATGTGACATCAATTAACTAAAAACGATGGCATTTTTTATTTTTGTTGATGAAAATGGCCATCAGTTAGTTAATATCATCAACATATCACACTAACTGATGAGAAAATGCAATCTATAATATCTTGCAATTGCACCAAATTTAAACAAATTCTGGTGAAGTGTATTTGAGAAACTGGTTCAAAACACAGAAACTAAGAAATGACCACCAGTTTGCTTACTTTTAAAAAATGCTGTTCTGGCCTTAAATCATCCAATCCTGACCATATTTGGTGGTTTTATGTAAAACAATACAGGTGTACAGATTGTACTTACTGCGCCCTGATACATGTCAACTTCCTTGTCTGTGAAATACTTTAGCTGTTTAAATGGATTCACAGATACCAATACAGGTCCTATGTAAGTCTAAAAGTTGTGTTAAGAAATTAAAACCAGCGCATATAATTTGGTACTGAGAAATATTCTATGAATTGTCAGTTATTAGTATTTACAGTTATGATATACATTAGGCCAATGTGAAGTGAAACCAAAGTGATAAATACCATTGTTAGTTTATCTCCAAATCTCAAGATACCAAATACAATAAATATAATAATTAGAAGTTCTGTTGCGTTTCGGGAAGTTTTAATTTTTGCAACTTTTGAATATTTATTTATACTTGTAGGTTAGTGAGAAGATTATAATAAAACTGATACTTCACTTTAACATTATTTTTACATTGGTCAGACCCTTTTAAAAGGTCACTCTTGGCCATTATAATGGGCATTATTTTTTTAATGGCTATTATATTTATCGTATTGTGATTGGTCAGATGGTTTGACTGCTTTCATGCATTGCATACAAACTGAAAGAGTTTGAGATACGACATTTTTGGTAAACTGCCAATTCTGAGATTTTACCCAAATTTCTTCTGAATTTGTAATTGTTAGTATTTTTATATATTTCGTATAATTCTTAAATTTTTCTCATCTCTAAGTTGGTGTCTTGTGCAATGTAGAAAGACGAAATAAGTCGTTGTCACAACGCCTTTTATTTGAGAACGTTGTTAAAATGTGCCGTGTGAACACAATACGACGGCCATTTTTCAAACACACTCTATCGCCGACTTATTTTAACATTACTTGCTTGACATTACACAAGATGGCATCAGAGGTCAAAAGTCGAATGTCAAACTGATCAGACGAAGAAACTAGATTACCAGTACTGATATCTGTTTGGAGAGAATCATATTTTTTCCCACCAGTTATTTCCGCGTTGTCGAGTCCAAATCGCTTGGGGTGCTGGGTCTATTGTTGCGTTATTCATACACACGAATAGCGGGAACATGAACCGATCATTTTGCAGTCTTGTTCGACCTAACATGTTGTCGATTTCTTGTTCTTCAAAATCTTGATTAATCGATCGTGGTTTCTTCTCGAGCGTAAAAACACACGGAAAACAGAAACTAAGCAAATGCATTTATCGGAGGGATGCCATTTTGTTGATTGACCTTTCCATTTGTTTATTGACCTTTCCGTGATATGATTCTTTGTGGGCGTAAAACACTGTTGTTTTTACTAAGTGAGAACGCGAGCAGACAATTCAACAGATTAGCTAATACAAAAAAACTGTGTCAACACCAGCGTTTTTTAGACGTGTGAGAACGTAGCTATAAACACAAAATCACAAGGAAATTGAAAGAAAAAATGTGGGAGACCAAAAATAACCACTATCAACAACAAAAACTGTAGATAGTGGGATGTGAAACAAAAATGAGTTATGTCATTTGGAATGAATTCACATCCTCTTGTCAAATTTTTTCCCATTTTCACAACAGTGGCAATTGTAAATAAAGTTATTACAAAAATTTATCTTTTGCAATATAACATGAAAATAGCAGTGTCAGGCTAAGTTGTTATGTTAATCGTTATATCTGTCATATTCCAGTATACAAAGCTGATTTGAGGAGAGCTGGTCACATGACAACATTACCCTTGTTTACACAATTCATACCGATATTCCACTCTAATTGTGTATGCAGGTAGAATAAACCATGTAAACAGACAGTAATGGCTGCCGAACTTTGAGCAAATTTGGTCATCAACATGCAAAATGTTGAACAGATTTTCAGAAGCTGGTACGAGTTAGTTAAAAGATGATGGCAGATTTATTTCAGGGGTACTTTTATCTTGCAAGTTGAAAACAGTGATGCCCGATGCACTGCGACTCTGCCTGTTTGGAACGTTCAAAATCTGTCCTACCTTCTGGTTTCTTGACCCTATGTCATGTGATATGCGCAAGCGTGCAAACAATGAACACGGAAACGCTATCAATTTGGGAACTCCAATTCACCAATGAATTTTTAAGTATTGAGAAAAAAATAAGTTTGAAAATTGAACAGACTAAAAATACAAGACTACTACTCTAGTTGACATTGTGCAGTTATATTCTAATATATACATGTTGTTTTCACTATTTATTTGGTAATTAGCAAAAAAATAAAAATGAAAGTTTTTCATCACAAAAAATGTTTCTGAATAAATATTTTGATCCATATTAGTGCACTAGATAGACATACTATCAATTTAAAACACATACTGGATCACATACCACAAAATAACAACATTAAACACATATTGGTAAAGGATACAAAAATCCAGTCATCCATAAATCTCTTTTTCAAATTCTCAACAATGGCAGATTCAGATATTTTTGATAATAACACCATATCCTCTACACC